TATTTTTAGCATTCAACTCTGTAACTGCTTTTAGTTCTAATGTCATACCTGGGAAAGTGCAGCAGGGGAGAAGGGTGGCAAAGGGATAAAGAGCAACTAATGTGAAGTGAATTCTCCCTTTCCTTCTGTCTTCACAAAAGAGATGAGTGGAGACAGTTCACCCTGATCATCTAAAATGGGGACTATCAGAAATAATGGTGTTTAAGAAGAGACTTAATAAATACAAGAGTTTTAAAGGAACTAAAAACCAAAGCAGCCTGTCCGCCAACCAAAACATATAAGTTCTTTAAAACAGCAATTCTCTATACATTGCTCTTTATGGTTCTACATGCAGCTCTCACTGCGTAGATGACTGATTAGTGATCCACTCAGTTTAGCTGGATCTCAAGAAGAGACGCACAAGAATGCCAGTCACAGAACCATCTGCCTAATACATTGTGCAGCACAGGGAGCACTGAGCAAACTCAGCAACTCCTATGCTGCTGTTCAGTTACCCTTTATCACACAGAAGAATAAAGAAACAGGAGCAAGTAGTATTCCCTTCCTCCACAACAAGCAAAAATGGAGTTCCTCTTCCTCCCAACAGCCAGCATGAGGTCTACAGGAAGAGGAGGGTGGAAAGGGAAGAGGAGGAGGAACTGCCAAGAGGATTTATATGAGAGAGAGAGAGAGGATGATGTTTGTGTCAACGTATAATAAACGTGTGCCATGATCAGGCAAATATTGTAATAACATCATATGATTATTTTGTGGAAGACAAGGGGGGGTGAGGCAATATATTTTATTGATAATTTTGTGACATTCTTAGACTCCATTTGATTGAGTGGCTCTCTAAGCTCAGTGGCTCTCAACCTTTCTTACTGTACCCCTTTCAGGAGACTGAGTTGTCTTACGTATTCCCGAGTTTCACCTCACTCAAAAACTACTTGCTTACAAAATCAGACATAGAAATATAAAAATGTCACAGCACACTATTACTGAAAAAATTGCTTAAATTTCAGTGTGTCGTATATAGAGCAGTATAAACCAGTCATTGTCTGTATGAAATTCTAGTTTGTACTGATTTACTTTTAATGTAGCCTGTTGTAAAACTAGGCAACTACCTAGATGAGTGGATGTACCACTCCGGAAGGCCTCCCGAGAACCACTGCTCTAGCTGTTAAATGTGGGGTGAGTATGGTAAGTGTTATGCAAGCATTTCCTACTTGCAGCCTGAGAAGTTACTAAATACAGGAAATAAAGTTTTCTAACTGCAAATATGATGTAATCACATTCCATTAAAAATATTCTTTAAGGAAAATGTGAATACAGAAGAAGGGTGGTCTTGTAATTAAGACACCAGGCGAAGACTAAGGATTTTGGATTAAATTCCTGGCTATGTTGCAGACCTCCTGTCTGACCTTAAACAAACCACTTTTCAGTTCCCCATCTGCAAAATAGGGATAATGATACTTCCTGTCCAGTAAAAAGTGGACTAAGACCTCCTCTCATTTCACAAAAACCATTTAATATCTACCAGATGGACACCTCAAATTTAACTATATTAGATGAGTAACTAAAAAGTGAATGGGTCTATATTTAATTTAATTTATTTATTTATTATTTAATACAGAGCCCGTTTACCAAAAAATTCTGTATCTTTACCAAAAACTACCATATGTAGGCTTGGCAGAATTCAATTTTTTAAATATAATTTTGAAGGACAATATCAAAGTTTATTTTTAAGCTTTTTATTTTTAAATTTTCTCAGTTGTGGAACATTGGAGGATGTCAGACAATTATTTAATGACCGTAGACACTGAGATAAAAAAAGCTTTCTAACCATTAAAACACAAATTGTCGACATCACATGTCAAAATATGCAAAGTAAATATCCTTAAATAAAAAAGTTCTCAAGCAGCATTTTTTTTACTTTACCAATCTGGACATTTCAATTATATCACTGATGGAAATATTTTTTTGTTGGTTTGTGTGTGCACAGAAATCAAAGTGTACCAACATTCACTGATAAAAATCGAATTCTCCCAAGCCTAGTCATATGGTATTTGCAGAGCACTGGAGTCTGTCAATTCCAAGCCATCTGAATCAGACGTGGATAATTGAATACCTCTACAGTTCTGGTTAAGGTCAATATGTGCATATTCACAGGTGAATGTGTATATAGTAATCATAAACAAACACTATTTATAACATACAAATACCAACTGTGTATCTAGCTCATCAGAATATCTGCATGCACTGTATTTGTTTTCTTTACCTATATACCTGCTGGAAATGAACTACTAAAAAGAGACATTTTCTAATGTAATAGGAAAAGTTTATGGCCCTAGACCAGGACAGCACTTAACTACATGCTTCATTTTAAGCAGAAACTTAAATCCTATTGACTACAAGTGTATTCCTAAAGAAAGATGCTTTCTTGAATTGGGGCCTACACAAATCCAGTCCTAAACAGCTATCACACTATCAAATTAAAAAGAAAAAAACAAAACAAAAACCTTTCATTATCCCGTTCTGGTGGTAGTAACAATCTCTTTCAACATTTTAAAGCAGCACATATAAATGTTTACGTTGCAGAAGACCCTAATTTGAATTTTACCAAAGATAAGCAGAATTCCAAGCATGCATATGTCTATCAAAACCTCACTGATCAGATTATCCACACACGAGATAAATATAATTGCTTATAAAGGTGAGGGGAAGGATTTTGTGCCTTTTTCACTAGGTATTTCGTTACATACAGAAGGCATGAAAAAAAGCTAAAAAGCTTTTTCCCCCCTGCGTATTAGAAATATTAAGTCTTGTCCTCTTGTGTCTCTGGTTCTCCTGGGAGATTAGAGAATGAATGGACCTCTCTGAGGGCTCAACTGAAAGGGTGAAGGTGGTGTTTGAATCTTTAACAAAAAGAGAGGTTTCAGAGTAGCATCTGTGTTAGTCTGTATCCGCAAAAAGAAAAGGAGTACTTGTGGCACCTTAGAGACCAACAAATTTATTTGAGCATAAGCTTTCATGAGCTACAGCTCACTTCATCGGATGCATGCAGTGGAAAATACAGTAGGGGGATTTTATATACACAGAGAACATGAAACAATGGGTGTTACCATACACACTGTAATGAGTGTGATCAGGTAAGGCGAGCTATTACCAGCAGGAGAGGAAAAAAAAAAACCTTTTGTAGTGATAATCAAGGTGGGCCATTTCCAGCAGTTGATAAGAACGTGTGAAGAACAGTAGGGGGGAAAATAAACATGGGGAAATAGTTTTACTTTGTGTAATGACACATCCACTCCCAGTCTTTATTCAAACCTAATTTAATGGTGTCCAGTTTGCAAATTAATTCCAATTCAGCAGTCTCTCAGAGTCTGTTTTTGAAGTTTTTTTGTTGTAATATTGCCACTTTTAGTCTGTAATCGAGTGACAAGAACGTCTGAGGAACGGGTGTGTGTGTGTGTATGTGGAATAAACATGGGGAAATAGTTTTACTTTGTGTAATGACACATTCACTTCCAGTCTTTATTCAAGCCTAAGTTAATGGTGTCCAGTTTGCAAATTAATTCCAATTCAGCAGTCTCTCGTTGGAGTCTGTTTTTGAAGTTTTTTTGTTGAAGAATTGCCACTTTTAGGTCTGTAATCGAGTGACCGAAGAGATTGACGTGTTCTCCGACTGGTTTTTGAAAGTTATAATTCTTGAAGTCTGATTTGTGTCCATTTATTCTTTTACGTAGAGACTGTCCGGTTAGGCCAATGTACATGGCAGAGGGGCATTGCTGGCACATGATGGCATATGTCACATTGGTAGATGTGCAGGTGAACAAGCCTCTGATAGTGTGGCTGATGTGATTAGGCCCTATGATGGTGTCTCCTGAATAGATGTGTGGACACAGTTGGCAACTGGCTTTGTTGCAAGGAAAAGTTCCTGGGTTAGTGTTTTTGTTGTGTGGTGTGTGGTTGCTGGTGAGTATTTGCTTCAGGTTGTCTGTAAGCAAGGACTGGCCTGTCTCCCAAGATCTGTGAGTGTGATGGGTCATCCTTCAGGATAGGTTGTAGACCCTTGATGATGCACTGGAGAGGTTCTAGTTGGGGGCTGAAGGAGACAGCCAGTGGCTTTCTGTTATCTTCTATTTTATTATCACTACAAAAGGTTGTTTTTTTTCTCTCCTGCTGGTAATAGCTCACCTTACCTTGATCACTCTCATTACAGTATGTATGGTAACACCCATTGTTTCATGTTCTCTGTGTATATAAAATCCCCCATCTCTATTTTCCATTGCATGCATCCGATGAAATGAGCTGTAGCTCACGAAAGCTTATGCTCAAATAAATTTGTTAGTCTCTAAGGTGCCACAAGTACTCCTTTTCTTTTAACAAAGAGAGTTCCCCCTCAAAGTGTTAATTGGGATCTTCTTTATGTGTCACACAAACAAAAGAAGAGCATAAAACAATTTCCACCCTCTGCAGGTCACCTACAAAAAGTATGGTAGTTTGCACAATGCATTTTTTTAAATGAATATCCAAAGCACTAGGTTAAAAGTTAAATTCTGTCGGTACTTTTTGAAGTTTCCTTTTTGGCAGCCTGATGGTACAGTGATTTTATGCTGCCATGTTACTTTACATAAGAACCGGGCATTATTATTATTATTTGTGTTGTCATGTGGGTAACCACAGTTCTAATACAGACTCGTCAGTCTTGTTCCCTGCACTGGTAGTTATTTAGAACAAAGACCAGTGGGTGGAGGTGTGAACACAGGAATAAAACCTTCACTGAATAATATTCTTCCAGGCAATTAAGTAGATGAGTTATTATCAACGTCACAGGAATCTATTTTCCTGCACTTGGCACAACAGGTGACAAAAGGAGTCAGTCAAAGTAAGGAATAGGAAAGAAACCATAAAGCTGTCAGTTCTACCTTATCATAAAGTTGAGTACTTTGGGGACAGAAGTCATGCTCATTTGAAGGACTCCAATGACAACAACGACAGAATTAAGTTACAATATGTACCTTTTCTACTGGTGGAAAGTCATTTTCTACTTCTATTGACCTTGGCCGTAGCTTTATTGGTTTGTCTTTGAAGATATCTCCAAAACCAATCCCCTTGACCTTTTTGGGTTGGATTGCTGCTGCTCCATTGGCTCCTTCTGATTTTGTGCTGCTTGAGTCACCACCATCACTCTCAGAGCCTGTAGCATCTCTTAAACCTGCCAAAAAAGGGGGTGGGGGGAAGAAACGTTAGATATGGAGCTTGACAATATTTTAAAAACAGAGAATGGTGGTCAAAGCAAATAGCAGCTCCTCTCACCCCCAACGCATAGGTAAAATGGATGTCCTTTCTTTATGCCAAGTACTCATTCTAGGGTTTTTTTATTTCATCATTTTCACATACGTCTTAGAACTTCTCCCAATCCACAACATACACACACACACACACACTTCCAATATCAAAATATTATCCCTGAAGAAGGCCACTGCTATACATCAAAATATCCTTTTACCCCAGACACAGATCACTCAAAAGAGAGTCCAAGAAATTAGAATTAATTTCAGTTCTAGTTCAGCTATCATACTTATGGCACTTAAAATTCAGGAGTCAGACCAGATATACTATACTGTATCTGTATGACTCATGTCAAGCCAATTTTGCAGTTAATATCTAAAGATACATTACCTAAAAGGGAAATACAAAGCTAAAAGCTGTTTAAACAAATTTGCAATCAAATAAGTGGCATAATATTATCCCTGCTGAAGAATTACATTTCTCTGTAGATTAGACAGCCTTGTAAGAAAAGCACACATGCACACCCTCCTCTAGGAATATAATAAATCAAAATTGACATTCCAATTTGCTTTACTACTCTCAATGAACAGGAAAATCCAAACTTACCTGAAAATTTCCTTTCTTCAAGTAATAAGGTCCACAGTTCTATTACAAAAAGAAAAGGAGTACTTGTGGCACCTTAGAGACGAACAAATTTATTTGAGTATATACAATGAGTATTTTAAATTCAGTCTGCTTGCAGTTCAAGGGCAGAACCAGAACTATCAGGAGGGAAGTGTCAGCATATGCAGATGACACACCACACTATCTATCCTTTACCACACACAACCACACAACTACCATCAAGACAGCCCAGTACTTGGATGAAAGCAGCTCTTGGATAAAGAAGAGCTGGCTGAAGCTGAACCTGAGCAAGACAGCGATGATGCTGGTGCGCAGAGGAGAGTATTTTGAAGAGTTTGGAGCCTCAGTGTGGTTTCTATTGGTAGAAGATAGACACCCATAATTGGTCAATTCAGTCCATAGCTTAGGAGTACTCTTGGATTCTTCGCTAACACTGAGCTCTCACATAGTAGCATCTGCATGTAATGCTTTCCATCTCTGCTTGGCTAGGAAACTCCATCCCATCCTGGTGGATGAACACCTGGCCTTTGTCACCTTTCAGATGGACTACAGCAATGGGCATGAAGCCTTCAGCACTTCGGAAAATCCACTGGCACAGAATGCTGCAGCGCATCTCCTCAGCAACACAGGCTACCATGAACATATCAAACCTGTCCTCCACTCTCTCCACTGGCTTCCCTTTGAATTTCTAATCAAGTTCAAGGTTGCAGCCTTTATCTTCAAATCACTCCCTGGCCTGGGCTCAGGGTATCTAAAAGATCACCTACAAAGCTCTGGGGTGAAGAGTGTTTGACAACTACACTCTGGCACAACAGAACTCTCAACAATAAGAGTAAAGCTCATCTGTGTGGGAGACAGAACATTCTCCGGGGATGTTCCGAGACTGTGGAGTGATCTCTCCCAGGAATTAAGGACCAACACAAACACCACCACTTTCTGCTCCAAATGCAAGGCACATTTCTTTCACCTTGCCTTCTCTTACATAAACATATAGCAACGGGTACACTGATATTTAAAAAAATGCCTTACCAAACCTAGACACTCCACTGCACACGCTTCTCCCTCTGGGGAGAGAATACAAGAACATACACGACAGCTGTGTAAGCACATTGCTAACTGCATTACTGGAGGACACTCAGATACTAGGGTGATGAGTGTGGTATAAAAACCATTAGAGAACAGACTAGAATGCCCTGCCTCTTGAAGTTCTCTCCAGTTGAGGAAACTTCCACAGCCAGGATAACTCAAATCTACTTTCTTAAATTACAGATCACGTTAAATAAACTTTGAGGAAAAACACAATGAAGTATCCCACTGCAGATCATGGTAAATTCTGCCTAATGACAATAAACCCAAATCCTTTTATGTCGATTTCCATCTCTATTCTGAATGACCATTTGTCTTCAGGGCAGCTGGATATGTGCACCTTATTACTTAAAGAAAGGAAATTTTTAGGAAAGCATAGATAAATTTTCCCATTTTTCTTAGTGCTAATTAAAATGGGTTTTCATAGTAGGGTGCCTCCAGGATAGGAAGCAAGATAATCTCTTAAATATAGACATCCAAAACCAAGTAGATTATATATCTCCTCCATCTTCCCCTGGGTACCAAGGCACGGATGAGACTTCTTCCAAAACAAAGGAAATGGCATTAACTGACACTGGATGACCAATATGGTGAATGAATGGCAGACTAGCACATTTTATTACAGGAGATATGACTATTCTGCCCTAAGATTGCCAGTTCTCCTAAGGATTGGATGGTGATGCATAACTAAAGCAGGGCTATTTCTTGAGTTTACTTAAGGAATGAATGCTATGACAATTGTGAGGACTACTGGGCTGAAATTTAAGTACAATACTGGGTCTCACAGAAAGCCCCAAATTTCAAATTAAAAAACCCTATTCTGATTGGAGATAGTAGCCATTGGGAGGACTGCTCTAATGGATAGGAAATATGGTGACACTTGCTGCAGAGGTTCCATTTGGGTAGTGAGGTAAGGAGCAGGATGAGGTTACAAGGTTATACAAGGTTGTGAGGTTGGAATAAGGTTGCCGCCCTAAGGAAACATTAAATGTTAAATGTTGGGATATATACAAAGTTTCCTTTTCTTGAACATGCTGCTAACATTATACTACAGAGACCTGACCTGTTTGCGGGACACTCATATTCCCATATTAAGGTCCTCCTGGAGGAACTTGAGGTTATGTTTCACTGATTTAACAGGATAGTTAAGCTTTGCACCAGCTTGCAAAGTAAGTTTTATTTGCTGACTTCTCTTGCTTGAGGTCCATGGGAGCAAAAATCACTTTCTTCAGCTATTCATTTTGCAGCTGTCTGGTCGGATGGAGGACTGGTCTTGCAACAGCAAACGTCCTTTGTGAGAAGGACGCTTCCCAAAATCCACTGCTAGGTTAATCAACCTGGAGAGCCAAACTCTCTTCAGCCAGAAAGGCATAAACAGTGTCACTACTGCTCTCTTGTTTTATCTTCTCTATTGTCCTCGGAAGCTGTGGAAAAGGCGAGAAAGCAAAACAAGGACTTTGTGTGTGGATGCAGGGGGGGAGGTAGTGAGTGATATCACGCAGAGAGGCACTTTATTTACTGTTTCCAGCAAAGCAGCTGATCACCAGCTGACCAAACTGATGATGTGTGAGATATTCTTGGGTTTAGAAGCTGATAAGGTGCTGGTTTGTCCCCAGGCCTTAAAGGACCCACTGCCATACCCAGAGTCTCTTTCCAAACTCAGTTTTATGTTCCAAACATAGGCAAAATAAAAACAGTTCATTGGTGAACCCTGGATTGTAGCACCTAGGGGGGCTTCCCCTTTGCCTCTCAATTTTTCCTGCTTCAGGGCCTACCGTAGGATTCTTTCTTGCTCTTTGCACAGAGCACTGCCTCCCAGCTTTCTCCCTGGAAGCTGCCCCCCTTCGGTTCCCATTGCCTTCCCTCTTGGCACTGTAGAAACCACGCCCAGGGAACTTCCTGTTGCTCCTGCTTCCTTACTGACAGCCTGGATCTTCACAGCCCCAGATGCTGCTCCACCCTCTTAATTGACCAACTGGGAGCACCTGTTCTAGCACAGGGGAGCTGGACCTGCTTCACTGAAAGGGGTCAGCCGCCCTGTGACAGAGCCACTCTGATAATCCAACTTCTGCCATGTAAGTCTTGGTGTTCATCTCCCCTTTGGTGGACAGTGCACTTAGAGACAGGAAACTTCATTCTGCCAAGAACAAGCAAATTTCTCTCTGGGTTAGGGCTGAATGTGTTCTTTCTAGTCATTATGAAACCCTATTGGACACACTCACTGCCGTCACTAGAACAGGTCTGTTATTCATGGAAGAAGCCATGCTCTGAGACCTCAATTAATTATTGTGTTCCAGCTGGTGGATGATGTGCCTTCCTTTTCTGGTGCCCATTCCCTGAACCAAATTAGGAAGGTCCCTTAAAAATAATAAAAATAATCTGATTCTCTAAATGTACTAGTTGTCAGAGCAGATAACATACAATTGGAGCTAGATCTTTGCCAATGGATAAGATAGAGTAAGATGCAGTGGCAGTACCCAGAATTACTGGATATAGGTATCATCTGAACTCATTGAACATGCCTCTGTATGAGATCAGAATTCCCAATAGGCTCCGATAAAAATTGGATTTTTGTTTCTGTGACACCACTTGTTTTCCATTAGGAGCAATCTTCATCTTCTGTAACATTTTTCTGAGATGAGACCCTGTATCTGACAGTATTCCTCCTCATCCCAGGTCTGTTATTGACTTTCCAGGCACAATGTGTTTGTCCTGAATACTCCAGGAACTGTGTCACTCTGTGTGACTGATTCAGCTTTTCTCTGTACAGAATCCAGGTCAGAAAAAGGGTCTGGGAAGAGATAAGTGAATTTCCTTCTTCCCTAAAGCCAATATTATTTCTACCACAATGCTGGAGAGACACTCTGGGAGCACATGGAACATCAAATGGTAATGACTGAAATTGGGAAAAAAATAAAAGGCTGCCATTCATCTGCAAATCATAAGTATTATCTAAGGATGGTTAAATGGGAATGCTTTGAAGACAAACCTGCATTAAGAATTTATTCAGATGTTTCAGACTCTTTGTCCCCAATTCTCTGAGGCTAGAAACAAGAAGGTGAACCAGTTGCAACCCTCCAATATGAAGTAGGTGATGGATGATTTCATTCATTTAGTGGCTGAGACTGGAATGTGTTGCTGAGACTGGAAATGGAACAAAGCTGTTCTCGTAATTTTTGCACAGCTCCCTAGTGACCATTATCCAGTGACCACATTTGATCAAAGCTACAGGTAACTCTATTGCTTCAAAATTGAGAGAACCTGGCACTACTCAGGGGTCTATCTCCAGAAAGGGCTGGTTGAGAGACCTTCAGATAGCTCTGGGACAATGTAGGGCAACTACAGACCCTACCCTACTCTTGTTCTAGCTGCCTGACAAAAAAGTATTCTTTCCTGTTGTGCTTCAAGTTGCCATATGATTTGTACTCACTTCTATAATGTGTGTCCAGAGTCAGGACTGTCAGTTGAATTTTTTGATTACTATGTGGCCACAAGTAAAAATCTCCCCCAGTTAGAAACACCGAGTCCCTGACCACCAGGGAAAATAGCTACTTTATTTTCAATAAGGGAGGAGCAGGAGACACAGGCCTTTCCTTTTGCTTCTGACTTTTCTTTGCCTGGCTCTCTCCCTGAAGCCCATAGGTGCACCAGCTGCTGCCAACATCTCAGAAGGGGAAGCAGAACTAAGGGGACAATCTCCCCAAAAAATCAAATACAGCCTTGGGACACAGCTGGCAAATAGACAAACACATTATGGAACTGAATTGTTAGTCTAAAAATCTGAAATAAAGTTTGGCATTTTCCTCAGAAAAGCTCTGCTACAGGGAGGGCTGGCTAAAATATTGAAGAGAGCGTCAGGAGGCAGGGCATTCTCCTTCAGACAGTGACTAATAGCTTTGGTTCTGCCCACTATTAACATTAAACTGTTGAGGCTG